TGTGTGTGTGTGTGTGTGTGTGTGTGTGAAAATATGTGTGTATATTACTTCACGTCAAGATCGGAAATACATGTAGGTGGGCGGCACGAACATTTTTAGGTGGCAAAAGTTGGCAAATGGTTGACAAGCACTACATTGGAGAAAATTGAAGTAAAAATAATAGTTGTGCGTAACCAGCCCAAGCACGTGACGATGTCGGAGAAGTACCCGCGTATTTCTCTGCACAATTCGAAACCCACCACGCCTTGAGTGTAAAGCGAAAGATCTTGTCAGTATGATAGTGTTTTAAAGCCTATACATGGCTGCTTGCACTGTATGCTTCCCATGAAGTTGAGGTTGTTTCAGAATGCTCTCAGGTCTGCTGGGTAATAGTATAGATTGTGAAGCGCATAAGAACTTGCTGTTGAGCGGGGATTTGCGCTAAACAAATGCTATCTTTGAATTATTAAAGTTGAAACCTACGCCTTCCGTAGGCTATCGTTTGGGATGTCTTATTATTTGTGTGGTTGAGATTTCGCTGCCCGATTATTTTTGTTTTTCTATTTTTTGTCTGTTTGTTTGGGTTTTTCGTTTCTATCATTTTGTTCTTGTTCTTGATATTTCACTTTACGAGGATAATATTTTGCTTGCGCAGTCGACAAAAAACAACAACAACAAAAACCAAAACAAAACAATAAAAAGCGCATATTTAATTTGTCACATGATGTGATTCAGTTTTTACGCCACTTGTTTGTATAAATAAAAAATATGTGGTTTTCAAAGGAGTTCTCAAAGAACCCGCACAGGAATACAAATTCTTAAAAAGAGGGAAAAGTTCATCCTTTTTCTTTTATTAATATTCACCCCGTCTCGTGACTGCCGTCTCGTGACACGCTCAAACATTCCATCTCTCTGAGGTGTCGGACGCCTAACGGGGTAAAGTTACCTAGTTAAATTACCATCGCCAGCTAAAATCATGTAGGCAGACCACTTTTGCAGGCCTTTACTCAATACCAAGGGTGAAAGAAGCGAATGATGATGATGGCAATATTGTTGTATTACATTATATCCCTACTAAATGGTCCGTATGATGGATACTGGAAGCACCCCAATTTCAGCACTGTGCCTCGTTACTTTGGTTTGATAACAAACACAATCTATGACAAAGACAACGTCCATAATTAAACAACTTTCATTTTGTTTCAGAGTATTCATTTGGGTGCTTCTTCAAAGACTATAACAAACGCGTGACCATGAACATTTTGTTTGTTTGGCGAAAATAAATCTTTAAATAGTAAGTCTGCTGTCTACAACTTTTAGTGAAGACAATTTATGGTCTTTATCAAATTGAAAATCGTGTTGGGATCAACAATGGAGAACAAATTCTTTAAATTAGTACGATTGAAACATTTCCTTTAGACCTCTCCAAAGTCGGGACACTCCATTAGGATGTGCCTGTTGGTAAAGTCGGCATCACATCCGATACAAAATCGTTTTTCATCTCCCTGCATGAGGTATTTAGTACTATTTATGCATCGGGGAAGAATGTCCAATACGTTGTCTGGTTAGAAATATAACTTCGTCTGTTCTATATAGACCCGAAGGTTTTCGTGGACCCAGCTTAGGTGTGATAAAATGGAGTTTAATATTTTTCTGTTCGCTTCGGTGTTCCTCCCGCAGCCTGCATGTGCTTCGAAATTTGGCAAACAAAAGCTGGAATACCGGTATATTTATGATTGTTCACGTCCCTTGCGCTGAGAAAGAGTTATGCACTGGAAGAAAAGACGACCCCAAAATGGGACACATCTCGTTCGCAATATCTGACCGACATTGTGTTCCCAAGCCTTCTTTTTTTTCAAGCTGGCCAAAAGGAGGTACGATTTATGGGATCAAATTCTAGGCCCCATAAACAAATTTTCAGGACCATTTATATCTTTTAGACCATCCAGAAGTTGGAATTAACCGGTTTCTGAGGGGTAGCAGTTAAGCGCTTTGTTGTCGCACGCAGGAGACTTGAGTTCAATCCCAGAGTAGGAGAAGTTTTTTATCGAGTACATATATAATCGGTTTGTCTGCGGCTGGATGTTGTATTCCTCACAGCGAAGGTTGGCCCAGACAACCAGGATTGGAAGCCTGCCACCGTAATAATATTAATTGTGTTGATGGGGACGGAAAACTATTTACGCTAGAAAAAATAAGTTAGAATTAACCTTTCTTTTTGTATTTGTTTGTTTGTTTTGTCTTAGTTTTTTTTCTCCCGTTTTTGCATCGGGAGTAATTTGATTCAGTGTGTTCCTGTTTGCGAAAATAATTGCATTAAAATAATTCAAATTTTATCCCCAAACAGAAAAATAATGGTTGATGTTTGTGAGTGAATAGCGTATTCCAAATGGGTTTTTTTCCTCTTTTGGTGGGTTTTTGGGGGGTGGGGGTAGGGGTGGCGCATGTTCATTTAGATGAAAAAAGGCCCGCAATGACCTTACTTGTTTCTATGACTATATTTTTATGACATAAAATGCTGCATGTTTAGGTGGTGCAAATAGGGAATTGGATCGCGTGGTCTTGCGCTAAGGTTGTAATGTATCACATGAGGTCTCGGTACAGAATGAGACATTGCGTCAAAAATCTAGAACATCAGAGCTGTTTCCGCTCTGAAGGTCACACAGGCAAATAACAAAAATTGTCGGATATCCCAGCACAGAAATAAAAAAATCAGGACACGATTTATGGGAAAAAAAGATACCGGAACGATTGCGATTCTGTTTCTTTTGAGGGGGGATCAGGTCATGAGGTCTGAAACCGTATTCAAGGCTGCAAGGTAGACATAGCAAACGACCTTGATAGGGTGGGTTTTGAAAAGAAAGATGTGCAGACTGTTCTCTTCAGGATGTAATTCCAAAACTGACACACACACACACACACACACACACACACACACAC